AATGCAACCCCAAACCATGATGTTACCCTCACCAAACTTGACTGATTTCTGTTTGAATCTTGGGTCCATGCGAGTTCCAAAAGGTCTGCAGCAGTATTTGATCAGGATGCAATTCAACAGATTATTCATCTGAGAAATCTACCTTCGGCCACTTTTCCAAATGACATCAAGTTATTATTTGTTGCTCTTACAACTGGGATTGATGGCAAAACTTTCGTCAGGTAGTGTGAACTATTTATATAATTATATAAATTATTATTTGCATTAAGCTTATTTTCTCCCTGTTGTTAATTAAAAAAAATGTTTGCATAGATAAAAAAAGATTATACAGACAGACAGACAGACAGACAGACAGACAGACAGACAGACACAGATAAAGTCAGAATTATTAGCACCCAGAATTATTAGCCCCCCTGTTTATTTCTTTTACCCAATTTCTGTTTAACAGAGAGAAAATAAAATTCCAGCACATTTCTAAACCTAATAGTTTTAATAACTCATTTCTAATAACTGATTTATTTTATCTTTTCCATGATGACAGTAAATAATATTTGACTAGATATTTTTCAAGACACTTCTATACAGCTTAAAGTGACATTTAAAGGCTTAACTGGGGTAATTATGTTAACTAAGTGGGTTAGGGTAATTAGGCAAGTTATTGTATAACGATGGTTTATTCTGTAGACAATCTAAAAAATATATAGCTTAAAGAGGCTAATAATTTTGACTTCAAAATGTTTTGTAAAAATTGAAAACAGCTTTTATTCTAGCCGAAATAAAACAAATAGGACTTTCTCCAGAAGAAACAATATTATCAGACATACTGTGAAAATTTCCTTGCTCTGAAAAACATAGGGGGGCTAATAATTATGACTTCAACTGTATATAAAAAAATAAATTTTGACTTAACTGCTTACTAGTAGAGATTTCAGATTAATTAACAAAATAATCTAGAGACAAACATGCTTTAAACACGTGTATTAAGGGTTTGAGTAGAGATTTATCAGACTCACGGAGCACCACGGCTTCAGACTTGTTGCTGTCTGTCCTGTTCTGCTGAACCAGAGGAGCAAACGACACGGCCAGAATATTCTTACTCTCCCATGAGCTCTGACCCGTCCTGATAATCTGAGTGAGCTGGACAACACAAACAGACACGCTAATAAACCTCACACAAACTATCAGCAAGATCATCAAACCACAGATACATTTATAGATTGTTAAGAAAGAGAGTTTTGGGTTTATTGCCATATCAGCCATGGCATAAACAGATCAAATGTATAAATATTCCATAAATATCCCTTTTCTTTAATATAAAAAAGCTTCAATCATCCACAAAAAATGAATTGGTCAAAGTTTGGGATTTATATTTTGTAGTTTTATACTCTTATTTGAAAGTTTTTTGCTGTGTGTAAGAGGCGGATGTTTTACCTGATCCTCTATTGGCATGACCAGAATCCCGCCGACTTTGAGCAGGATCTTCATGTAGTTCTCGTGGTCCTTCTGAACTCCAGCGCCGCAGTAAATGCGGTCGTACTGATGACTGTCTGAGGAAATCTCCAGGCAGTTGCCCACCACGAAGTGTGGCTCGCAGAACTCAAACCTGAAAGCACACGTAGAAGATTAAACTCCTGAATGTCTGCAGAACAATTGCTACGTTTTATAGTGCTTGTTTTTCACAAAACCTTCTGATAGGGCTGCACGATGTTAGAGAAATCTGATATTGCGATATTTTATTTTTCTGCAATAGATATTGCGATATAAATACAGTTTCAGAAGATGGTTTAAAGGGCTATGACACCCCCCACTTTCGGTTAAAGTCTACTTCAGAATTTTTTCAAAAGATGCAATATTAATGGGCGTGGAGCTCCGCGAGCATAGGGCAGAAGTGGGCGTGGCCACAAACTGAGACACAAACCGTAAGAAGAAGCATGAGTTTATACTTCACAAAGTTAAAATGCAAAGAAATAAACAGTAATTTAATGCCCTGCTACATTTGTTATTCGTAATTTCATATACACATAACCACAATTTATATCATTATAAAGATAAGTGTGTTCATGTAAACACTATAAATGAGGATTCTTTCTCGATCCCTGTGTCTAAATTATAGATCTTGAATGCAGACTCAGTGCAGCAGGTCTCCTGACCTGTCTATTTTAACCATTAGCTCTGCTGGTAATTTAGAGGATTTAGGCAAACACAGCAGCACGGCGATGTGTCTGAATGTGAACGAACTCCTGATAAAAGTCAACGTCCGCCATTCTTCAATTCTCGTGCTGCTCTCCCGACAAAAATGCTTGCAGCACACACACAGCTTTGCTGTATGATAAGCCCAGACAGGATCGCGGGGAAAAAACATGCAACAAACACCGTGGATCATGGAAACAAACACATACGAGCCTTCATGAACGGCTACGTGCCGTTGGTCTGTGTCTCACAGCTTGCTTGAAACTGGCAGGTCTGCCTTCGGAAAGCACGTGCTCTCATGAATAATTAAGCAGCCGGCTCTTCTCATAGGATAAGAAAACTCCGCTATGAATAATAATGAGAAACCGACGCGTCATCATTGCACTTGCAGTACTGCGCAACGTCGGCGATTTTGATCCCGCCCCAAAAATCATTTTAAACCCGGAAGCTGAAATTAGCTGACAAAAGCTCAAAATTATCCAGTTTTCCCCACAATTAAAGCAGACAGGTGCTAACATTGTCTTAACTAATGCTCAACACACACACATCTGTTAATATTAAAAAAAAGTTCTCCAGGGTGTCCTGAACCTTTAAATAGCACTATTTGGCAGTTTTCTGGCGAGTCTAACAGTGTTCATGTACAGAAGTTAAATAATCACAATGCATATTATGCTTTTCTTACTTTACTTTTGCATGTTTCTAGTCGACACATCTTAACTTCAGAAGAAATACGTTAAAATTAAGAGGTTTTCCTTAAAACAAGCTAAAATATCTGCCAATGGAGTGAGTAAAAAATCGTGTTTTTGCTTTGAAATGTAGATATTAGGACTAGAAACAAGGCAAAAAAAAATGTAAAATAAGAAAAACATTTTTGAATAAATAAATAAATACAGTTAATCTTTGTTACACATCCAAACCAAGCGGCAACCTGCCGCTCTCCCTCGGGAAGACAATACGAAGTAACTGAAGCTGCAATTCATCGAAGTTCCGCTAGTCCTGGCTCGATATGGAGCCCACTGTTAGAATGGCCAATTTTACAGCAGAAAAAAGGTGTTTACATCCTGGTACAAAGAACAATTTTGGTTCGTATAGCTAATATCACCCTTCATGACAACTGTGAGGGGGGTGAATTTTTTATAACTCATTCGTTTCATTTATATTAGGTTATATTAAGTCTGCATAATTAAGGGCGTGGCCAATTGAGCTGACTCCGGCAGATTAGCTGCTGAACTCGGCAAATACATCGTATTTTTGTGTTGTTTATGTGGCTTTACACAGTCAGTTGCCTTTTGAAATTATTTCTTATAATTATCAGATGATATAGCATGCTATGTGCACTTAATTGTGCTCACAAACCATTCACGTGGCCTCCGTTTCCCAGGTGAGTGAAATTATATACTTATATATCATATCTAAAAATGCATTTGTTTTATTTAAGATCATTTATCGTTTATATTTATATTTAGAGCTGTAAAGCACTCCAGAATCTGTCAGATTATATCTGAAGTGTTTGGAAGTAATTTGCGTTTTCCTCCTGTTGAAAAACGTCATAAGAACAATGCTTAGTGGCTCAATGTATTACAACAGTGTTTTTAAAAGTCTAAACACTTTATTGACAGTGTACAACCAAGCACATGTGTACAGAGCCCAAACGAGTCACAGGTGATAAAGTATTAAGCGTTTCTCCCATAGAAAAGCCTGTCTGAACCAGGTCTAAGCAAAATGCTGCAGGTGTCTGTAGGCTCACGCTCCACCTCAAATGGTCTTAGTGAAGCCATTAGGGGGCGCCCAACCTGTGGTCTGTGTGGGTCCTAATGCCCCAGTATAGTTACGGGGACTCTACACTGCTCAGTGAGCGCCGTCTTTCAGCTAAGACGTTAAACCGAGGTCCTGACTCAGTGTTGTCATTAAAATCCCAGGATGTCCTCCGAAAAGGAGTAGGGGTTTAACCCTGGCATCCTGGCCAAATCTGCCCACTGGCCCCTGTCCACCATGGCCACCTAACCCTCCCTATATCATAATTGGCTTCATCACTCTGTCTCCTCTCCACCAATCAGCTGTTGTGTGGTCTGGCCCAAAATGGCTTCCGCCGCGTCATCCAGGTGGATGCTGCGCACTGGTGGTGGATGATAAGACCCCCCCACCAATGTGTAAAGTGCTTTGAGTGTCTAGAAAAGCACTAAATGTAAGGAATTATTATTATTATTATTATTATTATTATTATTATAGGGTAATTAGGCAAATTACTGTATAACAGTGGTTTGTTCTGTAGACAATACATAAAAAAATTGCTTAAAATGGCTAATAATTTTAACCTTTAAATGATTTAAAAATATATAAAACTGCTTTTATTCTAGTGAAATAAAACAAATAGGACTTTCTCCAGAAGGAAAAATATTATCAGACATACTGTGAAAATTTCCTTGCTCTGTTAAACACCATTTGGGAAATATTTGAAAAAGAAAAGAATAATAAGCGTGACTTTAACTGTATACAAGTTGTTTCTTCAAAGAGTTATGTATCAGTTTTTTTACTGTGCTTTCTAAAGATTCCCACATACAGTAAACAGTTCAAATCAGTCTGTTGACATGCGTCATCCAGTGGTATAAACAGATGATTCATGTGAATGGGTTGTTTGACCTCATATTGCTCCTGCTGTGATGCATTCATTATGAATTCATGCTGCTGTTTATGCATCATTTGTTGTTTGCTTGTTTGGATTTAATTTTATACATTTATGCATGTACATTTAGTTTAATTGAGTTGGGCTGCCATGGGGGGGGAAAGCACTACAACAGCATGTAGGCTTTCAAAAGGTTTGGCAAACACTGGTTTAGACTGTAACAGTAAGAATTTAGGGGAAGCAATGAGGGATAAAAATAAACACAAAATCTTTTGGTCCCGTTTGCCTTCCATACAGGGTGACACGGTTGCTCAGTGGTTAAGACTGTGGCCTCAAAGCAAGAAGGTCGCTGGTTCGAGTCCCAGCTGGGCTGGTTGGTATTTCTGTGTGGAGTTTGCATGTTCTGCCCGTGTTGGCGTGGGTTTCCTCTGGGTGCTGCGGTTTCCCCCACAGTCCAAACACATGTGCTATAGATGAAGTGGATAAACTAAATTGGCTGTAGTGTACGAGTGCGTGTGTAAATGAGTGTGTATGGGTGTTTCCCAGCAGTAGCTTGCGGCTGAAAGCACATCTGCTGCGTAAAACATATGCTGGAATAGTTGGCGGTTCATTCCACTGTAATACAGTAATTGACAAATTGTCACCTTAGAATCATAAGGTTCTATCTGACAATTTTGTCAATATTTAATTATTTACATATTCTTATTAAATCATAACATATTTACATTATGGGATGTTTTTTTTTATAAGTTGTTCACATTTTAAGACTTTTTATTTAAAAAAGAAAAACGGTTTATCTACACAGTTGAACTTTAGCTTGGCTCTATAAGGTTCTTTCTGTTAGCCAATCAGCATTTTAATGCACGCACGAGGACCAATCAGGATCAGCGTTCTTTATCGTTTCGCCGGACTGCTCCATTAACAGCGGGAAAGACCAGAAAGGCAACATATGTTCGTAGTGTATGAGTGTGACTGAGTGTGTGTGGATGTTTTCCAGACATGGGTTGCAGCTGGAAAGGCATCCGCTGCGTATAAAAAAAAAAAAACGAGCTGGATAAGTTGGCGGTTCATTCCTCTGTGGCGACCCCGGATTAATACAGGGACTAAGCCAAAAAAATAAAAATGATTGAATGAATAACAGCTGCATTGGATAAAATATTTAGCACAGCCTTGTATACTTCATTTGAAAAAAAAAATCATCCTAAAACATGAAATAAATGTTATAGAAAGCTAAATTTTATAAATAAATGTTATAGAAAGCAAAATTGCTTAAGCATCAACATATTGTTACAACACTAAATTATATATATTTTTATTGTATTTCTTGAAAAGTAATGCTTAATGTCTACCACAGTGGTTCTCAAACTTATTTAACCAAGTACCACCTCAGAAAAAAATGGTCTCTCCAAGTTCCACCATAATGACCAGTATTGAAAAACAGAGCAGCTTATTAGGCTTAATTAAGCAGCTACAGCTCTGTACAGTTCAAAAACGTGGCAGATTAATTCCTATTGTTATGAATGTTTATTATTGTCAGCCACTTTTAACATCATTAATAGTTTGAACATTAACTATAACATTAGAAATAAATAAAACATCAATGCGTGCTTTTGAAAGTTAATTAAAAATGGCACTGTTCTTAAAGTAAACAAAAAAAACTGCTGTGCTTAAATGTAAAGAATTATTATATAGTAGCCTATTCATCAAAACCTGAAAATATTCCTTGGACTTCATAAATATCATCATATTCATATGTAAACTCTTTTTGATAAATTTTGAAATGTATAGTA